TGTTTGCCAGCAGTGACTGGGAAAACGGTCAGAACGGAGGGGAAAGTGAATGCATCACAAAAGGTGAGTGAGGATGGGAGGATGTGAGGCCTAAATTTAGGAATGAAGAATACCAACTGGGAAATTAATGATCAAACCTCAAAACAAGAAGTAAATACCAACAAAAATTAAGCGAATACAAATGTAATCCAACCTGAATTATAGCTCAAAACACTAATAATCCAATTAAGAAAAGACTCATTTAAATCCAAATTGACTCACAAACCTGAACACCACCAGATCTACCAGCTCCAACTGCTCTGCTACTTCATATAGTTACTCATTTAAATTAAATTAAATGACTATGTGTGTATTTGGATGGGGGAGGGGAGCTAGAGTACCTGGGGGGGAACCCTGCATTCACACAGAGAACAGGGGGCCTTTTTTTTTTTTCCTCCACCCAGCAAAACAAACTAATTGATGAGCCGGCTGTGTTTTGCTAAAGGGATTTTATGGCCTTTGCAGGAGTCCCGGGCTCAGTCTGCAACATCATCCATCTTCCACAGGTTTACTGGGTCAAAGCTAAAAGGCCTTTTACTTCCCTCCCGGAATTGTACTTTTTCCGCCTCTTGTACCTGAGCTGATGAATCCTGAACTCAGAAAGGGGGGGACAGGGGGAGGGGGGTGCTGCTAGGCCGGCTGCTAAATTTCTGCAGCTTCCATCCAACAATGTGTCAAAAGCCAAATATTTTCTACTGTTTGCCAAATGAATCTGCAGTGGTTTGTCCTTTTATATGATGCACCAGTTTTAGAAGGACCGGATTGTGTCTGGAGACTTTTACTCTCTTTGTCTTTACGATATTATATTTGAATTAATATATTTTCTATCAATAGTCACTTATCAAGTATTTAATCCTAAATCTAAACTATTTAGAGTACATTTAGGCACTTTTACTTTTTACTTTTATTCTCTTTGTCTTTATTATGTAAGATATTATATTTGAATTAATATGTTTTCTATCAATAATCACTTATCAAGTACTTAATCCCAAATCTAAACTATCTGAAGTACATTTAAGCACTATATATGGAAGTAATTTAAATGAGGGAGCTAACCATTCCGGTCAGACACAGTAATTATGACCAAAATGAAACATTTTAAGTGCTGATTTCCGGTACTGTTGCCACCGAAAATTAAAGTGGAGTGCCCCGTTAGTCACAGCTGATGATGATGATGATGATGATGATGATGGTGGTGATGAAGCCGCACGCGCCTCTGCACGACCTCCTGCGCTGAATCAGTGGCTGCCAGGAGGATGAAATGGATGCGGCTCCTTATCACTCAGGCGACAGAGGGAGAGATCAATTAATTAAACCAGCTCGTGTAATTAACGAGCTCCAGGAGAACCCCCCCCCCCCCCCCCCCCCCCCCCCCCCTCCCCCCCCCCCGCGGCTCCCCCCCCCCCCGATTTGAATCAGTGCAGGATCTGGTGAATCTAGGTCCGGCGCACCGATCCCAAATTGCGCAACGGCGGAGTGCGCAAAAACGCCGCGTGCAGCGGAGAGGAAAGAGCCCGCAGCCTTCCAGAGGCGCGCGC